CCTTCCTATTAAGTGACAGAGAAGGCAGACAATGCATTCCTTCTTACAGAACTACTCAACAGCTGAGTGCTCTCAGGGCTTACGTAGCAGAGATTTAGATGTTACGTGAATTTCTCCACAGAAAATGCTGCCAGTAAAAGGCTAGATCAGTTTTTATGAAGGTTAGTGGTAGATAAATACTGGACTTGGATCTTGTTTGTGAATAGACTGTTTGCTTTACAGTTGAAGTCACAGTTTGCTTCCAAACCATTAAAACAGCACGCTGTACAGCAGGATTGCTAACTGAGAAATGGTAGCGCTTGGGATGGTGAGCTACAGCAACCCACCCAGCTTTCTCCGTTTCAGTAATCAGCTAGGCAAGTGTAGAAAGGAAGGTTAAACTGTTTCATTTGAAAAAGAATGTTCTCTAAGGAGCAAAGCAGTAGTAGTGCAATTTTAATAATTAAACCGATTGACAGTTCTTACTGCGGATAGATTGCAACGTAATTCTTGTAGTCTGAGCTTTTTCTGGTTCACTTTTGGCTGTTCATCCTGTTGTTCTTAAATGATCCATGCTGTTTCCTTCACTGAAGGTAAAAGACCTAAGAAGCCACTTGATAAAAAGGCTGGAAACAAAGGTAGGAACCCACAGATTTAACTTTTGCAAAGCAAAATCCTAATGTTTATTTGGTGTTAAGTAAGTCTAATTATTTTGGGTGTTCACAGACTGTAAAGCTGATATTGCATTTCTCATGGATGGAAGTTACAACATCGGCCAACGCAGATTTAATTTGCAGAAAAACTTTGTTGGAAAAGTAGCTGTGATGTTGGGAATTGGAACAGAAGGGCCTCACGTTGGAGTTGTACAAGCCAGGTAAGAACAGATCTATGCAAAATATAACTGAGTGATTAGTAAGAGAAACCAATTGATATATCACTCCCTATTTTGCAGAACAGTATTCACTCAATAATGGCGGATGAATAGCAAGAGAAAACAAACTCTTTCTAGCTGTAGTACTGTTTGCTCTGTGCTACTCTGAGATGTCCATGTGAGAAGCCGTGAAAAATTTGATCATCTTCTGCCTCTGTGATACTTGATATTTGGATAGAGTGAGCAGCCGGACTTTTCACAGCCCTTCTGCTGCTGACAGTTTTGTAGCTCATCTTAGTAAAACAGCAGAAAGCACTCTGCAAAGGAGAGACGGCTCTTTAAAAATTGTGGAGAGAGAATTGTCACAAATGGCTGCGTACATATACAAAACAAAAAACTGCTCTTGCCAACGTGTAGGTTACTACAGCTAATATTTTCAAATTGTAAATGGTCACTTTTTTATTTTAAGACTATTCATACTACCGTGTATGTTCACAGGCTGCAAAACAGTCTGAAAGCCACTGCAACATCCAACATGTTGGTAGAAGGCTTTTTGGAGCCACAGCTCAGTTTGCTAGTGCTCAGCAGTAGCAGTTTTCCAAGGCTTAACCGCTTTGGCTATCGCTTCTGGAATAAAGGAAGCCCAAAGAAGCCTTTAACTCTCTTATTCTAAGACGACGAAACATCTGTTAGATTAACACAGGGTTTCTCTATCGTATCTTTCATCATTAAAGTCTGTTCCTCTCCCCTGCCTTTAGACAACAGCACAGTTGCTGTCTGCGTCTGATTTAATGACCTAGGTGTGCTTTTGTAGTCACTAGAAAGAACGATCACATTCATGGCACAAACCATCTGAACTGCTTTGGATGCCTCTTTTAGGATGTGATTAATTCCATCCTCAAAAATCCAGTCTGTCCACTCTAGACATCAAAATCTAAGGGAAAGGAGCCTCACTCTTGCTGTCCTGGGTTTAAATACTACAATGTGAGGAACAATTCCTGGAGAAAATGAGTAATCAGTTCAGCACCTTGAACATTCACCTCTTATTAATTAGAAATTAATCTTACAAGCAATTATCTTTGTACCTTAAAATGTACCATTTTAACTGTTATTCTGCCATGAGATTCAGCACTGCAGACCAACACCGCTTGGCACAGGGGTTCATTCCAGTGATTCTGATGCAGGACCAGGCCATTTATTCATAGTAGCAGCTCTTTGACCTGCAAGTGTTTTTCTTTCTACTCTTTGCGTGACAAATTTCTTTCCTACTATAAATCAAAAGTGAAATCTGGAAACTTAGTGTAGCTAGACTTTCATTTCTTAAATGGAGTCAGTAGCTAACGTACCTTAAAACTTCTCAAATTACATAACTCAAACTGTTTGCATTTCACAGGAATTTTTTAAAAACAAGGTATTTCTCATACAAATAGTGGAAAACCTGCCAATTTTCAATTACACAAATGCATTTAGCTTAACATCTGGCATGTTCTAACTTTTTTCCTATATATATTTTCAACCTAATGTTTTCAGCTGCTTGATAAGCGTAAGAATCATTCTGTTCTTAATTTACCCACCCAGCTAAATAAATCCTTTTGCTAAGGATTGTGAGAATTATTAAGGTAGGATCATCCTTCTATTTTAGGAATTAAAAATATATAAAGAAGAGTGTATATTACCAAGAACGAAATGATTCAAAGCTTATTTTAGCTTGCTAATGCCATAGCGGTATGAAAAGTGAACTACAGACTTTATTACTCTGTTTTATATTTCCACAGTGAATATCCAAAAATTGAATTCTATCTGAAAAACTTCACTGCTGCGAAAGAAGTTTTGTTTGCCATAAAGGAACTAGGGTTCAGAGGAGGCAATTCTAATACAGGTGAGTTCATACCTCCATGCAAATAGAAATTATTTATTTACATTTCCAAATACGTATTTGTTTTAATATATGTAAGTATGCATATATATGTACTGAAGTTCTTATAATTCAGTTAGGCAAGAAAGTGTTTTAAATGCCATGCTTATCTTAGTCAGGTTCAACATTTTCCCACTAAACATTGCCACATCTTCCATTTCATTTCCAGAAGTTAGGGTTACTAATTACACATTTAATTAGAGCAGAAGTGCAAATATTTCCTGCGTTTAGACAGTAATCAACTTTTCACTAGTAACAGTGATATCTTGAGACAAATTCATATCTAAAAGGCTTAGCATTTCATTCTTGTTGAGTTGCTAATTAAAGAGTTGGTTAGTTAGAATAATCTTGGAATTAGTAGTAAGTGGTTGTGAAGAGATGTTTGCCAAATGAGGAAACTGAGCATTCCAGATATGTTGCATTTCACAAGCTAAATTTAAGTAGCTCTTAAGAACTTTCTTCCTTCCAATTCATTTGGCAGGCACCAATATATCTACTTCCTAGCACAAAACCAGACCTGTGGGTGAAAAAGTGTCAGTGGTTTCTTCCTCAGCTTTATCTGTAGGTGTGGTTTCTTTGTAGGGGTGGTTTGGTTTTTTGAGGGTTTTTTGGTTTTTAACTTACAGGTTGCTCAAGCTTCATTATTATAAAATTTCCTGGGACACTATTTCGCTTTTACACTCTGTTAGACCTGTAATCATAACCAAATTTCAGCACAATTTCATATAGGAAACTGGTATCAAAATGTAATTGCATTATTTCTTCATATTCTTTTCCTGTTCAAAACTAGGGAAAGCTTTGAAGCACACAGCTGAGAAATTCTTCTCTTTGGAAAACGGAGCACGCAAAGGAATTCCCAAGATCATTGTAGTGTTCCTAGATGGCTGGCCCTCAGATGATATAGAAGAAGCTGGCATAGTGGCCAGAGAATTTGGAGTCAATGTATTCATTGTATCTGTAGCGAAACCCACGACAGAGGAGCTGGGAATGGTACAAGACATCGGTTTTGTTGACAAAGTAAGAGGGAATATCATTATATGTTTTTCAGTCATGGGTATGATTCTAGAGAGTTTACTTCATGCTAAAATCTTAATTAACTAATTCTTTTTTATATATATAAAATTAAAATATTCCCTCAAAAATGCCTGTGAAGCTATCCCTGCTGATAAGTGATTTAAAAGAATATCACCAGGAAGCCTAAGGGAACACTGTTGTTTT